GAGCATGGAAGGATGAACTTGATCATGGTGAATAGGCGTTCTTCACCTGTTACCAAGATTGGATTTTATGGCGTAGTGCTTAATAGTGTGTTAGAATTAGATTTAATAAATTGTTGCTACTCGCCATAAATGACACGAAACATTATTTCTTTTCATGCATTGTTTAAACAAGGTTTTAGATATTCTTTTAATGATGAGAATGGTTCTATTTCTACTTATAAAAATGGTGTTTTTTATTTTGAAGTTTTACCTTGTGATGGTGTGTATGAAATTGTGATGATTGTGGACAATTTAGGTAATAGTGTTTTTCAAATTGATTTTTCTAATGGTTTAGACAAAGCGTGCTTGTGGCATTGTCGTCTTGGACACGTTAACAAGAAGCGCATTGCCCAACTCCAAAAGGATGGAGTGTTGGAGTCATTTGACTTAAGCTCGGATGATACATGTGAATCTTGTTTATTGGGTAAGATGACAAAATCACCATTCACTATATCTTGAGAAAGAGGTGAAGGTTTGTTGTACCTCATACACACGGATGTGTGCGGGCCCTTCAGATCATCCACAAGAGATGCTAATCGATTCTACTTGACTTTTATTGATGATTATAGCAGATATGACTATATCTAATTAATCAAGCGTAAGTCAGAAGCCTTTCAAAAGTTCAAAGAGTTTAATCAAGAAGTCGAGAATCGATTAGTCAAGAAGATAAAGATGCTCCGATCAGATAGAGGCGAAGAGTATCTTAGTATCGAGTTCCACGACTACCTCTAGGAATGTGGAATAGTTTCACAATTGACACCTCCTAGGACACCACAACTTAATGGTGTAGCTGAGAGGTGTAATCGGACCTTGTTGGGAATGGTTCGTTCCATGATGATTCGAGCTTGTCTTCCAATCTCATTCTGGGGGTATGCCTTAGAGACTGCCGCCCAAATTCTTAATCTTGTCCCAACTAAGAAGGTTGCTAAAATACCTCATGAAATGTGGACAGGGAAGGTTTCCTCGTTAGCACATATCAAGGTTTGGGGTTGTGAAGCTTTCGTTAGATGAGAGACTCACGACAAGCTTGAACCTCGAAGTGAGAGATGTATTTCCATCGGGTATCCAGATAAGTCCTTTAGACATTTGTTCTACAGACCTAGTGAGAACGTGGTATTTGTCGCACGAAGGGGAGTCTTTCATGAGAGAGAGCTCATATGCAAAGAGGACAGTGGGAGTACCATTTATCTTGAAGAGATTCAAGATTCAAATGATGAAGGAACCTCTAACACTAGAGTTCAACCAAAGGAAGAGATTCCAATTAAACCAGTTGACAACTCGTTACCTCTTAGGCATTCCAGTAGAGTTACCATGCCACTTGAGTTTTATGGTTCCTATATAGCTATAAAAGGTGATAAGTTTATCAGTGACAGTACACTGGTAAATTTGGATGAACCTACTAACTATAAGGAAGCAACCCAGAGGCAGCCAAGTGGAAAGAGGCAATGGACATCGAGATAAAGTCCATGTATGACAATCAAGTTTGGAATTTGGTTGACAATATACCAGGTCATAAGACAGTTGGGTGCAAATGGATCTTCAAGAAGAAGACTGACATGGATTTCAAAGCTCGACCATTTGCAAAGGGCTTTACTCAAACCCCAGGGGTTGACTATGACGAGACCTTCTCACCAGTGGCTAAGATAAAGTCTATTAGGGTAATGCTAGCCATATCTGTGTTTCACGATTATAAAATTTGGTAGATGGATGTCAAAATCGTTTTCCTTAATGGGAAGTTGGTTGATGATGTTTATATGAGTCAGCCAGAGGGTTTTGTAGATGAAAAGTACCCAAATAGAGTGTTTAAACTTGAGAAATCAATCTATGGATTGAAAAAAGGTTCTCGCAGATGGAATCTTTGCTTTGACGAGAAGGTCAAGGAGTTTGGCTTTTCTAGAAGTGAAGATGAATCTTGTGTATATATCAAAGCTAGTGGGAGTATAGTTACCTTCCTGATATTGTATGTTGATGACATAATTCTTATAGAAAATGACGTTCCAATCTTACAAGAGGTTAAGGCTTGGCTTGGAAAGTGTTTCGCTATGAAGGATCTGGGAGAGGCTACTTATATTTTGGAGATAAGGATTCTGAGAGACGGAAGTAAAAGACTGATTGGACTTAGTCAAAGTACATATTTAGAAAATGTGCTAAAATGTTTTAGTATGGAAAATTCCAAGAAGGGGGAGCTGTCTATCCAAAGTAATACCAAATTGAGTAAGACTCGGTGTCCGAGTACTGATGCGGAGATAGCATAAATGAGTAGAGTTCTATATGCTTTTGCAGTTGGATCTATAATGTATGTTATGACATGTACTCGCCCTGATGTGGCTTTTGCTTTGAGCATGGTAAGTCGATATCAAGGAAATCCTGGTAGAGCTCATTGGATAGCAGTTAAGAATATGCTCAAGTATTTGCGAAAAACTAAGGACTGGGTCCAAGTGCTTGGTAGCAATGATACGTTGAGAGTAACTGGGAATAGTGATGCCAACTTTCAAACAGATAGCGACAACTATCATTCGCAATCTGGCTGGGTGTTTACCCTAAATGGAGGAGCAGTTACTTGGAAAAGTTCCAATCAAGAGACGGTGACTGATTCTACTTGTAAATCAGAGTACATAGCAGTAAGTGAAGCATCTAAGGAAGCGATTTGGTTGAAGAACTTCATCGTAGATCTTGAAATTGTGCCGGCGATCAAGAAGCCAGTGGAGATTTTCTGTGATAAAGAAGGAGCGGTTGCCTTGACTAAGGAACCTCAAGATCACTACTTTTACCCCCACATACATATACATACGAACATACACATAGACACACATACATATACACAAACACATACATACATACACATGCACATAGACACACCACGACACACATATGTATTTACACACATACATACACACATACACACTCCCATACACACATACACATACACATCCACATACACACATACATATACATTTACATACACATACATGTTCCCATACACACATACACATACACATCTGTATACACACATACACATACATTCACATACACAACTCTGATTATAACTCCGTCGGCCTCCGCTCCTCTTCCTTATACTTGATGCCGCTCCTTTGAATTTTCATTGTTTATCGTCCCCATCGCCATCACCATCATTGATTCAGGATCCACCACCGATCCACCTCGCCACCACTGCTCCACCAAACTCTGCCTGGAAACCTTTACTTATCCACATTGCTGGAAACCCTCACCATTTGTGTCATTGATTTTAATAATTTCTATAAGACGAAATAGATCGACAATTGGTTTTAGTAATTTCAATAGAACGAAATGGCGTTTCAGCTTTCAGGTGTGTCATTGAATCGATTCCTATACTTGAAGCGATCAACTTTTTTTGAATAAACTCCAATATTATAAGAAGATTTGTTGACAAGTTCATCATTCGTGGAGTTAGAGTATTCAAGAATAACATGAAATATATATCATTTAAAAGGTATGTAATTGTTTCTTTTCACAATTTCTTTGTCATTTGATTTTCAACTCCTGATTATTATGTGTGTATATATATATATATATATATAATATATATATATATATATATATATATATATATATATATATATGCATATGTATTTGAGTGTATGTATGTACGTATGTGTATGTCAGTTTAATTACCTACAGAACCCTTCTAATTTTCAAGTTTTCAAGCATAATACGTTGTTTTTCCGCTTTATTTTACTCACACATATATAATACACAAATTACTATATATGTATCAAATTTTAGCTAATATACACATACGTGCACCCATATACACCATTAGAACCGACATTTCAATTCTAATTTTCAAGTTTGCAAACACCAAACGTCGTTTTTTAGGATTTATTTTTCTCAAAAATTTATTATACATCAATTAATATATATTGAACAAATTATATCTAATATAATACATACACAAATACTCATACAAATAGATTAAATTAAATTATTTTGCTTTTAGGTTTAGTTCTTACTTACCCCAAAATTCGTTGCTAAAACCATTTATTTTATTTTATGATAGATTGTTATAAGTTTTTATGTCTTTTCTTTGTAAAATAAACACATACATACAACTAATAAAAATATTAATAAAATGTATTTTTCTTATATATTATAGACAAAATTGCAAAAATGGTCCCTGTGGTTGTTAAAATTATGTGGTTTTGGTCCAGAAAGGTTTGGTGGTGCACCAGTGGTCCAATTTTGGATACCATGTGTGGATTTGGTCCCTATATCGTTAGCTTTAACAAGTTGACTGTTAACTTTTTAAAAATGACCATTTTACCCTCAGGGACCATTTCTTCAATTGAATCTTTTTACCAAACCATAAGGACCATTTTTGTATATCTTTTTTTTAACTGTATTGAAGTATTATATATTAGTTTTTTTTTATTTCTTTTTATTTGATTAATTCTTTTAATTTGATTATTATAAATTAATAAATATTATTTTTAATATATAATATTGAATATATTAATAATATTATTTTATTGGAGTATTGATTTCGTTTAATTAATTCATTTTTAATTTCTTTTTTATTGGATTAATTCTTTTTTATTAGATTATTATATATTAATAAATATTATTTTTAATATGAAATATTTATATAGATTAATGAATATTATTTTATGAGATTATTAACTTCTTTTAGTTATTTTTTTTTAATTTATATTGTATTAATTCTTTTTTGTCGGACCGAGTTTTGAGACATATTTTAGACAAAATCACGAATTAATCCAATAAAAAAGAAATTAAAAAAAATATTTATAAGAAATCAATACTCCAATAAAATAATATTATTAATATATTAAATATTATATATTAATAATAATATTTATTAATATATAATAAACTAATAAAAAGAATTAATCCAATAAAAAGAAATTAAAAAAACTGATTAAAAAAACTAATATATAATACTTCAATAAAGTTAAAAAGAAGATATGCAGAAATGGTCTATCAGGGTAAAATAGTTATTTTAAAAAAATTAACAGTTAAACTGTTAAAGTTAACGACATAAAGACCAAATCCGCACAAGGTATCCAAAATTGGACCACTGTGGTGCACCACCAAACTTGTTTTTTAACCAAAGACACATAATTTTTACAACCATAGAGACTATTTTTGTAATTTTGTCTATATTATACTTAAAAAAAAAACTTATTACGATCCAATTTTAATACCCAAAAGAAAAAAAAGCGGTACAAAGCTCACAATTCTTTTGAGCTCTCTCCTCTCCGACCCCAAAATCTTTTGAGTTTCCCGCATCCCTAAATTCTAAGGGGGTGTTTGGATAGGGAAAAAATGGGTTGCTTATTGCTTATTGCTTAATCCCACAGCAATAAACAAATTTAAGTGTTTGGATATGAGGTTTTAAAAATCAGCTTATTGCGGTAGGAATAAGCAAAATAAGCAGATTTTAATAAGCAATGGGGGAATGCTTATTGCTTATTGCTTATTGGTCATTTTATAAGCTGTTTTGTTTGCCAAACACTTAAAATGCTTATTGCTTATTGTTAATAAGATAATCCAAACACATTTTAAAAAAATATTTATTCTCACCGCAAATAAGCAATAAACTAAGAAAAAAACTATTTATCAAACACCTAAGATTGAGAAATTCCTTCCCTCATCCCGGTTTCCAAGTCACAGCTGGAACTCGACCATGCCGGAACTTCTTCCCTGCCGGAATCGACCACCACGAATGGCGTCAACATACTCCACTGCCCTTTTCTACCATCTCGTCCTGATCCCGATTTCTATGATCTCCCTTTACCCGATTTGAACTCCATTGCGGTTGTTGGAATCGACGATCGCTATCTCCACCGTTGTTGGCGTAGGTGGCTGAGCAACTGGCAGAAATCCTCACATTTGTGTGTGTTGTGCTCGAAACCGAGATAGAAGATTAGAAGCAGCGGGAATAGATACATAAGCAGTGACTATGGCTGCGGGATGAGTGGTCAGCGGCGACCTGGTAACCGGCGGTGGTTCTATGCAGCGGAAGTGGTGGTCGTACCATCATAGTCACCTTCAAAGTAACTAGGATTGGATTGAGTCTTCTTGGTAAGGTGTAGATTTTGTTTTGTGTATTCTGTTGAAATATACAACCCCGCCTCCTTTGTCTCACGCATGCTATTAGCTAGTTAGTGGTAAACATCTTGTGTTTAATTATGTGGAGGAAACATTGTTGCTGATTTGAAAGCAACATATCCTAGTGCTTTATACTTTTATACACTTAATTTGGTTCTTTTGGGATGATTCGGTGTAGTCTAATTTTAATTTAACGTGCAGGGTTTTGAAAAATCGGTTGATTGATGGCTATAGTTGCTTTACAGAGAGACTGTGTTGATCTTGTTGCTGTTAACGATCAGCTCATCTTTGTGGAGTACATGGTTTGGAACTTTGATAATTTGATTGTATCTAGAGTAGATCTGGGTTTTGAAGGTTTTGAGTTTTGATAATAATGTTTTTAACTTAGTCAATTTCATGTTTTCTAATGCAAATTCATGTCTTATTTGTAGGACAAACTACTTCTGATGCTAGATGCTGACAGATGGCATGGAGAAGCTTGAAAGCAGGGTGGTGTCCATATGTATTATGTTAAATGAGATCTGGAATCCAGATCCATATGTACACTATAATGGGAAAATGTGAAAGTAGAACCTGTATTAGAAGGAAGTTGCACTTTTTTATTTGTTTTACCATCTTTGTGTATAGTTGAGTAAACTTTTTATTGTGGAGTACATATTTTGTCATATAAAGTAGAAGTATTATGGTTAAAAGGTATACAAGTTACATAAAGGAGTATAGAACTGAAGTATATTATTTATGGTACACAGGTTGAGTCAACTAACGGAAAGAACTTTTTACGGTTTGAGCTATTCAGAACCAGCCTATGCTAAGCTTCCGAAAACAGGCTCTCAAGCTTTTTTTTATCAATTTCAGGAACCCTACAAAATTAGAAGTTTCATCAAAATTTACTAGCGAAGATAAATATGAAAACCATATCAATGATGCCATAGAATATACCATATTATAAACTAGTAGTTGCAATCCAACAAGTCCATACCTTGACAGATTTCCCTGTTTATGAGGCAAATCCCATATACTTCCTACTGTTGCACGGGTTTTCTCCCAATGTAGGGTCTTTAAGGATCTTTTATCGGTCAGCTGTGACACATTAGTACCGTTCTTTGAACTTGATGGTGAAGATGTAGGTATATGTTTAGGTGGAGGTAGAGGTGGAACCTATAACGTTGGTGTATATTTAGTTACACAACAAACCAAAACAAATAATTGTAGACATGTGTAGTTTGGAAACATAGTTAAACAAAGGTAATATACTAAAACATCCAACGAACCATTGCTTCTTATAGAACTGTAACTATAAGATAGTATAACTTTTTAGTTCTGAACACATTTATCCTATTTCTGATTTCCAAAATTTACAGTGAAAAAAGGTCAAGGATAGATAATTAAAAAAATGAGTGAATGGAGAAAGAAAAAAAAAGCGACCTACTTGAAATTGTAGTGCAGTTTCAAGTATTCTCACGACCTCCTTCATTAATGGACGCTCTTCACGGCTTCTCTTTAGGCATTGATAACCTACTCTAGTAAACACCTCCAAAGAACTAGGATGTATTTCATCTTTTATTTTACCATAAATAATTTCATTCAGGTTGTTTTGTTTGTAACATTTGCGTACTAATACAGTAAAAGACTGATGCTTATCATTTTTGACAAGACACAACCTCCCGCATAAAACTTCAAACAACACCACACCAAAGGAGTAAATATCTGACTCCATTGTTAGTGACCCTGTCTCAAAATATACAGGATCACAATAACCAACCGTGCCTACAACATTGTCTACCAGATATTTGTATTGCTGGTTAGAACGGCCAAATTTGGACAACCCCACATCTGCTATCTTTGCGTTCCAGGATTCATCTAACACGATATTGGAACTCTTAATATCGCGATGCAATACTGTTCGGTTGGTCCCAACATCACTATGAAGGTACGCTAGTCCACGAGCCGCCCCAATGCATATCTTAAGGCGTCGAACCCATGAGAGATCATTGCTGTCAAGATACACGTCGAGCCCGCTCCTAGATACGTACTCGTACACTATTATCTTCTCCCCACGATCATCGCAAAACCCTAAGAGAGGCACAATATTTTCATGTCTGTAAAGTGAAAGCATAATCATCTCCTTCCAAAACTCAAGGTCTCTTCGCTGAAATGTATAATCCAAACGTTTTAAAGCAACTGTAATTTGTCCCTTAGAATGGACAAGTTTTCCCTTATACACTTTACCAAATCCTCCCTCCCCGATGCAATTCTCATTAGAAAAGTGGTTGGTTGCTAATAGTATAGCCTCCAGCTGTATTTTGAGGTCTTCAAACTCTTCCGGAAAAGACGTTGTTTCTATGATCTATCAAAATTTACGAACCAAGACTTAGAAGGTGTTTCACAAATACATAGTTTAATACATTTTGTACTTACTAAGAATATATATATATATATATATATATATATATATATAATATATATATATATGGGAAAGGGAATATACATTATAGCCCCACCTAAGCTTAGGTACTAAACCTCTTGAAAATACATTGTTTTACTATATAAAGACTACGGTTAATGGATTCACGATTAATACTTCAAGATGTAAATTCAAGATCGACACAATAGGGTTTAGGGTTTAGGGTTAGGGTTTAGCGTTTAGCGTTTAGTAATGTTCACTTGGGTGAAGTAATAAACGATAATGGAAGAAAGAAAACAGAGATGGTAAAACGATAATGAAAGAAAGAAATGTTATGGAGAATGATATCTTTACCAAGTGAAACCAAAACGGGTATATTTAACAAGTTAAAACGACATATTTTAGAGGTTTAGTACCTAAACTTAGATGGCTGTAATGTATATTTCCTATCCCTATATATATATATATATAATATATATATATATATATATATATATATATATATATATATATATATATAATTCTCTTGTCATCCCTACTCGGTATATCCTTATGACAAAATAATTTAAGTTAGGCTATAAAAAAACTAATGAACAGAGAGGGAAAAAAAAAAAGGCAATCTTACTTGATAATCGAGTGCACTTTCAAGTTTTGCCAGGACTTCTTTCATTGTTGGACGTTGCTTAAAGTCCCTCAAACATTGGTATGCAATTCTTGTAAACTCTTCCAAGGAGCGAGGATTCATTTCAACCTTTATATCTTTATAAATAATTTCATCTAGGTTGTTCTTTGTGTAACATTCTCCTACCCATTGAGGAAAAGGTTGATGCTTATAATTTTTCCCAATAGCCAACTTCCCACACAAAACTTCAAACAACACCACCCCGAAGGAGTAAACATCTGACTCTTTTGTCAGTATCCCCGTTTCAAAATATTGCGGATCAATATACCCAAGTGAGCCTATAACGTGAGGAAGAACTAACTTGTGTGGTTTGCTATCATGACCAATTTTGGATAGACCTAAATCTTTGATCTTGGCAGTCCAAGAGTCATCTAATAAGATGTTAGCACTTTTAATATCTCTGTGCAATATTCTACCTTGGTGCAGGTATGAAAGTCCACGAGCCGCACCAATTGCAATTTTAAGGCGTTGAGTCCACGACAGGTTTTTGCTGCTGAGTTGCGATTCGACACTTCTCTTAGATGAATACTCGTATACCAGGATCTTCTCGCCGCCATCTTCACAGTACCCTAAGAGTGAGACAATATTTTCATGGCTGTAAAGTGAGAGCGTCTTGATCTCCTTCCAGAACTCAACGTCTCCTTCTCCAAATGGACGATCTAAACGTTTTATAGCAACTGTGGTATGTCCCTTCGAAAGGATGAGTTCTCCCCTGTACACTTTCCCGTATCCTCCTATCCCAATCAAATGGTCATGAGCAAAGTTGTTGGTTGCTGAACGTATAGCTTCCAGTTGTATCTTGAGATGTTCAAACTGTTTTCTGGCAGACATCATTTAGATCAAGCACCGAAAATACTATAGGTTCCAAAAGGTTATAGTTGAAGTAGTTGATAAAGCTTAAGTCTTCGTCAACTCTCGCTTCATTAGATAGTTAATTGGCGTTAACAACTATCCTGCCGGCTTGCAAATGAGTATTATAAGGGTATCTGGTACCAATTCCATTGACAGCTTGCAGTATTAAATTGGTGGCTGCTATTTATCTCCACCCTATCGATTTTGATATATTTTGACTTATATGAAATAAACATTGATTTGAAGTATAGATGTGACTAATATAATCTTCTATTTCCTTTCAAATATCCTATTTTTTGTTTGGGTGATGTATAATTTATACAATTTCTTCATCCTTTTCGTTTTATTGTTTTTAAAACCGATATATATTGTTTTTTTGTTGTTTTTTATTTTGTTTTTTTGTCTTTTATTATTATTATTATTATTAAAATAATTTGATTAAATGTCACCTTTAATACTCAGAATAAAAAAAGAGTAAATTACATGAATGGTCCCTGTGGTTTAGGGTAATTTGCGTGTTTGGTTCCTAACTTATTTTTTTAACTCAGAAAGTCTCTACTGTTTGTTTTTGTTACGCGTTTCGTCTCTGTCTTAACTAAAAAAATCTATTTTTCCCTTGATTTTTTAATTTATTTAAATAAACACACCCCTAACCCCACCCTCATCAGCTTACCTTACATACCCCATCATTTTTTCCTATTTAAATAATAGTCGTTTTAGATAAGACATGGACCAAGCGTGTAACAATAACAAATAGTATGGACCAAGCGCATAACAAAAACAAATAGTAGGGACATTCCGAGTTAAAAAAAAAATAACGTCGGACCAACGCAATTACCCCAAACCATAGGGACCATTCGTGTAATTTACACAAAAGATAGTTTGAATGAAAAAAAAATAATATATGAATAGTCCGAATGGAATAATAACACGGAGATAGTCGAAATAGAAAAACAATACAGGGATAGTCAGAACGAAAAACAAAAATAACACACTAATAGTCTAAATAAAAATAAATATAACACAAAAATAACCCGAACGAAAAAAAGATTGTATTTAATAATAATAATAATAATAATAATAATATGGGTATTTACTAAATAATAAAACACAATAAAATAAAAATGATAACCATAAGCAAAAAGTCATAGTCACGAAAAAAAATAAAATTATGTTATGTATTTAAATATTAAAAAAACCAATATAAAAGATATCATATATATATATAAATAGATAAGATATATATATATATATATAGATATATTATCTATAGATATATATAATATCTATATAAGAGATATATAAACTATACAAATATATATAGAAAAGATAAAGAGAAGAGTAACAAGAGAAAGAAGACACTAGAGAGAACAAAAAAAAAAAGAAAAAAAAAAAATGAATGGTAGGTCATCCAATCAACAAATAGAGACCAAAAAATTTTATTTTTACATTAATAAAACCAGCATACCAAAACATCATCATAAAAAAATCCATATAAAACAAATGTATCAATCATCAAATCACATCAGAGTAAATTAAGAAAATGCGGAACGAGGTGGTGTGTGCTCTGCAATCATCTTGGGCTCTTCCCTTTGAAAACAAAACTACCGGAAACATAAACTGAAAACCATAAGCACGAAACTTAGTGAGTTCCCCAAAATACCACAAACCATACATACATTTTCCATGGGCTACCCCCGTGGTCTTTTCCCTGAAATGTCATGGGCTACCCCCATGGTCTAACATCCAAGTTTCATGGGCTACCCCCATGGTCTTTCCTTGAAATGTCATGGGCTGCCCCTATGGTCTGACATCCAAGTGACATGGGCTACCCCCATGGTCTTCTATACAAATGTCACGGGTTACCCCCGGGGTCTTCCAAGCAAGTATCAAAAAGACAACTAACATTCCACATAAAAAGTAATGGGACGATATTGGTGCCTTCGACCCTTGGATATGGTGAGAAGACTCACATCGCACTGCTGAATCTCACAGAAAGATTCTTTGGCTGCTAGCTCGCTAAAATCCCCACGCTATCAATCACAAAATATTAATCCAATCAATAATTGGATCCTGACTCACCATACGAGTCCAAACTTGGGCAAAAGGCATTTTTACCCTTCCCTATACTCAGCCTAAGGCCCAAGCCCATAAGTCTAAAGGCCCAAATTCCAACATAATCACCCAAGGCCCAACTATGGCCCAATTTTCCAAATTGGTCCCTCAAAACCCTTTATGGGCCTAAAATCCAAAGGAGCCAAAAAAAGGTATAAACCAGAAGCACAAAAAGAAGTCTAATGGCCCAAATTCCAACATAATCACCCAAGGCCCAACTATGGCCCAATTTTCCAAATTGGTCCCTCAAAACCCTTTATGGGCCTAAAATCCAAAGGAGCCAAAAAAAGGTATAAACTAGAAGCACAAAAAGAAGTCTAATGGCCCAACAAGGCCCAAAGTAAGAAAACCCAACAAAGAACCAAACCTCAAAAGCCCAAAACAACCCTTTGGGGAGTACGCCCAGCGTACTCGAGACGTATGCCCCGCGTACTCGACCACGATGCACAAAGTACAATTGCCTGATGCACGATCCTCGCATTACACTGAACATACCTCCTCATACGCCCATCGTACTCGTCATGAATCCAAAAACCCACATTTGCTCTTAATGGGTTAAGTCAAGATGTCCAAAACATAGATTTGGTCCCTAGCCAAGGTCTTACCAATATCGTTTCCAACTTTACTCACAAACACGTCTTAATGGGAATCAACACTTAAAAAGGAACTTAATAAGAGTTTAATACATGCATGGACCAAAATCTTTCATAAAGTTTCCATTTTTATGAACAAGGGGCCTTATTGGAGCTTAAATCTAACAACCACTACTCCTGGAGTAGATCAAAAGCTCACCTTTACATCAAGGGACTCAAAAATACCAAAGAACTCCATGAAGTAGATCCAACCAAAAAGATCATCAAGGTTAAAGCTTTTTACCTTCAGAAGCTTGCAAATGGAAAGATACCCCTAGATCTAGAAGCTCAAGCCACACCTCCAAATGATTCTCTTCTTCTTCTTCTTCACAAAACACCCATCAAGCACATACCAAGCTCAAAATCACCACATTGCACTTAGGGTTCGATTCTAGGGTTAAGGAGCCTAAAGGTATTAGGGTTTGGTGAAGAGAAAATGAGCTTAAATAGGGTCCAAGGCCCTAAAATAGGGTTTGCATGAATCTAGAGTATGCCCCACGTACTCCAATTACGCTTAGCGTACTCCTCTCAAAGTCGCGATCCTACTTCTTCGTAAGCCCAACGTACACCGAGGTACGGCCCGCGTACTCACCTTAGCACCAGTACGCCCCGCGTACTAGGGTTAGCCTCAAACCCTGTAACATTCTGAAGGCCATAACTTCTTAGTTATAAGTCCGTTTCTGTCGATCCTTATATCCACGAAGAGGTAAAGAGAAACTCTACATTTCTATCAACTCATACTCGCCTTAAAATTTCCCGAACAAAAATTCAATTTCTATAAAATCCCGATCTGACACATTACCGAAGTACCCCTTGGCTCCAAAACACCAACCGAACTCCCAGATCATCTAAATCACATTACCCACCTCCAAATAGGTCTAATCTCTTTTCTCCAAAGGTCTTAGGCCCTATGATACCCGATCTTCGGGTTAATGTCCCGCATTAATAAACGATTCAGAACAAGGAGTTACAACTCTCCCCCACTTAAATTAGATTTCTTCCTCAAAATCGTTCCTTACCATCCCAGGAACGCTAGACATCCTAAGCATACAACAACCTTCCCAAAGGAAACCAAAACCAACTCTAGTAGGGTTGTCCAAACCCGAAGACGAATGAATCCTTTCTCAGCCTAAAATAATCCCATGCAGAATAACCACATCTACTTAACCTGAAATATGAAGTCTCGAATTGGTCTGACTCCCTGACAGACCGCCCATCCTGAACCATTGCTAATTCCATTACACTTGTCTCCCAAACTGACTACTCAACTTTTGATTACTAGAAACGTAATCAAAGACCATACGTTGTTGCCGCTAACTTTTCACTTGACCAAAGGGATTAGATATTCCTTCGAGGAACGACTCATCTTGATGTTGACAATTCCATGAATATAATGTACAACGCGAGACAAATTGGGAGATAAACCTTCTAGTGTTGAACAAGACACTACTTCCTTTAACTGTTGAACAAACACACCTTTGCTGAAATCCAGAAATCCCATACTTACCTGACCTCCACACAAATAGAACCAATCCAAAACACAATCACAAGAGCCTGATCTACCATCAAAACTGAAAACATCCTTTAACTCTAAACCCTTCAAATGATTCCCTTGGTATACAGATACCTTATTTCATATCCTAATGAAATGAAGACCTTGCACATAAACACTCGCGATTCTCAACGCGAGTTCCCTCCAAAAAACAATTTGGTACCTAACTCGCAACGGAGATCCAAGGACTTACACCTGCATTTCATCCGAAATCTTCTAATTCACGGAAACCCTTTGCTAAACCTAGATATAAGATCCTTCGTCACCCTAAGAATGCCAGCCTCACACCTGGTCCAACCACCAGGTTTCTATGAGTCCAATAGACAAGGCTACCCTGGCCTAAGCATTCCTCTGCGCCACTCACTAACCATATAACAATTCCTACAAAACCAAAATACAATACCTCAACCCAACAGTCTCCATCACGTTCCACCTGTATTTCCCTGAACATACGGGCCTCGCCCTCGTGTCCCACCCATACTATACCACGGAGCGGGTCACGCCCACGAGTCCCACCCATCTAGAGCTACACAGACTCGACTCCACCTTAGATCCCAATGGCCTTCTTCCTAAAACAGAGAAATGCACTCTGAAACTCTTGTGCATCTTGCCAAAGGCACAAACTGACCCTCCTTTATAATCATGACTACCTCAACAATAGACTACCTCAAAATGGCGAATGCTACGATCCCATCGTAGACTTACACCACTTCTAACTAACCATGGTTACCACCCATGGTCTTACCACACCCAAACCATCTCAACCCCAATTATCTTGAGTCGAACCCGTGTCCGACTGAATTCCAATCAGGTGTATGG